CCAATTGGCCAGGACAGGTGGAGCCGAAAAGAAGGGCGAAAACTACATTTCCCGTCTTGCTCTGGGCACAGCTTCCATTTTTCTCATCATCCCGCCTCTTCCGCCGGAAATGAAAAGATCACTTCCGTCTCGGCAATACTGGGAGCCGGCGGCGCTGGTCGGCCCTTCAGGGCCTAGCTCCGAAGCTCCGCCCTCTGCTCGGGTCTTTCTGGAAAGCCCGCTTTGATCTCGGCCGTGGGGAAAGGTATTCTTGGCGGCGGAGGTGCTGGGGAAGCCGTTCCTCTCCCGGCGCGGAGTGCCGACAGGGCGCGGCGAGCTTGTGGCGCGGGGCTGGGAAGCCGGTTACCCGCGTCGTGGCTCCAGCTCTGACGTTTTGTCCTTTCTCCCTTCGCAATTGCAGCGTCCCCGGCGCGTGTGTGTCTCCCATGGCTGATACAACCCCAAACGGCCCCCAAGGGGCGGGCGCTGTGGTAAGTGCGCTAGCGGGCAGGGTCGCCCGGTTTGGTCGGCTGGAGTTAGGAAGGAACAGGAAGCGGCGCAGGGTCCCGAGGCGTGCCGGGAGCTCGGGGCGGGTGGCCTGGGGTCAGCGAATGGGAGCGGGGCCGGGGGACCTCAGGGAAGACACAGCCGGAGCTGTTTTAGCTGGTTCCCAAAACGGCGACGGGCTGGCCTGGAGTAGGTGGCCCTGAACTGTGTGTCATGCCATGGGGCCTTTTTGCCTCCTCCTACACTTGGATTGTCCTTGGCCCCAGATTGAAGATACCATTTGAGATTGTAGACCGTGAACCTTTGTACCTACTTTATACAGAAATTACGCAAAGGGAGAGAAAGCGGGTTTTTCCCCCTTCACTTTGTCCTTACTTCATTATGAAGACAAATACCATTACGTTTTTGTAAATTTTTTAACAGCTTTCTAGCTATTTGTACCCTAAGGATTATTGTCCTCCAGTTTTTAAACTCTGTGAGTTTGTGAATTGGGTGTTTTTTTTCTTAAAAAATTTTTTTTTAGTTTGGCGTCAGTGGCTCACGCCTGGGAGGCTGAGATCCGGAGGATTGCGATTCAAGGCCAGCCTGTGGAAATAGACCACATCTCTAAAATAACCAGAGCAAAATGTCCTGGAGGTGTGACTCAAGCTGTACAGTACCTGCTTTGCAAGAGCAAAGCCCTGGGTTCAAACCCCAGACCCATCAAAAAAAAAAAGCAACATCTCTATATACACACTTTCTAAAAAAAACTTTTGCTGATCCATTTGTTAATATTGTTAACCCACAAATACTTCTGGATTTTTCCACATGACTACAGTACAGTTATCACATTTGGGAAATTTAACATTGATACATGTTATTACCTAATACACAGTTCATGTTCAAATTTCCTTAATTGTCCGTTAAAGGTGCTTTCTCCTAGGGATTCAGCCAAAAAACATGCATTACATTTACTAGTCATATCTCTTTTAATCCATAAGAGTTCCTCTGCTCTCCTCCTCCCTTTTTGGTCTTACAAGAACATTGGTAGTTTTCAAAAGTCAAGAACTGCTGTTTTAGCCGGACACTGGTGGGTCACACCGATAATCCTAGCTACTGAGGACACAAAGTATCAGGAGGATCTCAGCCCTGGCAAATAGTTTGTGAGACCTTATCTTGAAAGTATACAACACAAAAAAGAGCTGGTGAAATGGCTTATATGGTAGATTGTCTGCCTAGTGAGTGTGCCGCCACCCCACAAAAAAAAGTAATGTATTAAAACTTTAGGTAGACCCATTAGTGACTTTTGAAATCACTTTAGTGAAAGCACCAACTATTTTTTAAAAAAATAAATACCAAAATTCAACACATGTAGAAAGGATAAGTATTGTTTGTGAAACTTTTTACTCAGCATATATTTGCATTGTATCTGGATGTTAACGTTATTTATGACTTTTGGTTGAAAAATATAAAATCTTCTTTAGAAGTTACTTAGAAGGTACAGCTTTAATGATAAGACAGATTTTAAGTTCTTGCTTTAGTGGTAGTGGCATATATATATTGGGGGGAAAAAAGCAGCCAAGGAAAAGACAGACTGAGAAAAAATGGAGGAGTGGTATGTGAAAGTTTAATCTAGTGCCTCTGATACCAGGTTAAAACTTAGAGGGAGAGTCACATAATTAGAGCAGCAGTTACCATTTAATACCTGACAGGTGTACTTTGAGTGCCACAGTTCTGCTAGGCCCTTGTATACATAGACAGATTATCCACAGACTAATGAGTCCAACAGTAACTATTACCATGGTTTATCTTTCTCCTTTAAAAGGTATATTTAATCCAAACTTGAGTTTGTGTAGTGCCTTCTTACTCTGCTCTGAGACCTGCCTATTTAGATTTGAGATTTTTCTAAGAATAGATGTTATGGTTCTCTTGAGAGCAATTAGTTCTTTAATGCTTTTTATTTTTTAATAGATGAAGCCTGTATTACCAGTGTTGAAGGAAGAGATAATTGTAGTTAATTTTCTGTTCAGATTTTTTTTTTCTTTCTTAACTAGTTTTTTTGTTTTCTGAAATGTTAACTGGTATTTTTCTGCTTATTTCTATTTATTTAAGTACTTCCTGTTCCTTCCACATCAAAACTGTAGGGTGTTTGGACTCTCCATTGAGCATATGTGTGAAAGAGTTAATTGATGTAAGAGTTTTCACATAATGATATTAAAAAGTTTTATAAGATTGTTAAACTAGTTTGAGAAGAAAACTACTACTATGTGCTTAATGTAGTTTGCAGGCTTAGTTTACCACAGTATTTTTCTTTTTAAATGTAGCAATTCATGATGACGAATAAATTGGACACAGCAATGTGGCTTTCTCGCTTGTTCACAGTTTACTGCTCTGCTTTGTTTGTTCTGCCTCTTCTTGGGTATGTATTATTTATATTTTTGACTTTTATAGTCAGTTCAGTCAGTATTTGTGAAATGCCTTTTAGGTTTAAGAATTGTTTAACTGTAATGGATTTGGGTCAAAATAACAAATCCTACCTTTAGTCAAAATAATCTAGTAATGTCAGTTGGAGGAATGTATTGTACCTTGTGATTTGTGAAACTAACAGCACATTGAAAATGAGGAAAAATTGGGTGTGTGGGGATGAGGTGAGTTTTTGATGATTTTTTGCATTTTTTAACTTTTTTAACTTGACAGGAAGAACTCAGTTGGGCATATATATATATATATATATATGAAGTGATACTTCCAAGAAGGTAGAATAGGTTCAAGTAATTTTTTTTTCTATTCACAATTAAATGATTTAGGTATTGTGCAATTATGATGCAATTCACAAAGGAGGAAGAGACATGGTAGTTGTTTGTGTCTCATGATAACTTCTCTGATCACTTGCAGGTTGCATGAAG